GACCTCGTGCCGCAGGATGCTGCGATCGACGGCAAAGCACGGAGCGAGATCTGACAGCATGGGCCTCGTCGGCGTGGCGGGCGTACATATCCGTGCATGGGCCCTGGAGGTCAGGGTCCGGGCCGCTGCTCCAGGGCCGGCTGGCTCTTCGCCCTGGCTCGCTTCCTGACGCTCTCGCGGCGAGGGCCCCCAGAGGCCGAAAACGGCCCAAACCCGCCCCTCCTCCCCCCTCTCCTCCTCTCTCCTCCTAACTCCTCCTCCTCTCCTCTCCTCCCTCCTCCTTTCCTCCTCTCCTCTCCTCCTCCTCCTTTCCTCTTCTCCTCCTCCCCTCCTCCCCTCCTCCTCTCATCCTCCTCCTCCTCCTCCTCATTCTGCTCTTCCTTCTCAACCTCCTCTCACCTCCTACTCCTCCTCCTCTCCTCCTCTCCTCCTCCTCTGCTTTCCTTCTCCTCCTCCACCTCCTCCACCTCCTCCTCCACCTCCTCCTCCTCCTCCAGAGCGCCGGATCTCAGGGCACACTGATTGCCATCGCAACGCCAGCGGCAGCCTGGAGCTGAACGCGCGCGTCCAGCACGGCTGGACAGCAGCCCGCCGCTGCCTGTGCGAGGGTGGCCGCATGGCTAGGGATTCCTAAGGCATCCTTAGGCAGCCTTAGGAATCCACAGGAATCCTTAGGAAACCTTAGGAATCCTTAGGAATCCTGATTCCTAGGGATTCCCAGGGATTCCTAAGGACTCCGAGGGAATCCTAAGGATTCCTAAGGATTCCTGAGGGCCCCGGTGCTTGCAGGCTGCGGCAGCAGCGGTCGCAGACCACTCAGGGTTAAGTCGGGCGCGCCCCCCCCTACAGGGGGATTTTCGAAGAAAAATAAAAAATACTCAAAACTATTCCAACATGGTCAGAATATATACAAAACTTATCCCGGCAAAGCAACCTAACAGCGATGTGTAGAAGCATATCTGGAAGCATTCCCCTTAAGATCTAGGTGAGAATCCAGTTGTAGAATTCTGCTGTTCTCGCAGTCGCAGCCTCAGCCTGCCTCAGCCACAGCCTCAGCCTCAGCCTGCCTCAGCCTCAGCCTCAGCCTGCCTCAGCCTCAGCCTGCATCAGCCTCAGCCTCAGCCTGCCTCAGCCGCAACTTGCCTCAGCCTCAGCCACAGCCTCAGCCTCAGCCTCAGCCTGCCTCAGCTTCAGCCTCAGCCTCAGCCTCGCTGCTCAGCCAGAGCCTCAGCCTGCCTCAGCCGCTAGCTGAAGATCAGCCCTCAGCCAACAGCCTCAGCATCAGCCTCAGCCTCGCCTCAGCTTCAGCTCAGCCTCAGGCCTCAGCCTGCCTCGGCTTGCATCTGGCCACAGGCTCAGGCCGGCCTCGGCTCAGCCTCGGCCTCAGCCTCAGCCTCAGCCTCCTCAGGCTCAGCCTCTGCCGCTCAGCCTCAGCCTGAATCAGCCTCAGCCTCAGCCTGCATCAGCCTCAGCTCAGCCTCCGCCTGAACTTTGCCTCAGCCTCAACCACAGCCTCCAGCCTACTGCCTGCCATCAGCTTCAGCTCAGCCTCAGCCTGCCTGGGCTTGCCATCGCCTCTGCTCAGCCTGCCTCAGGGCCTCAGGCCTCCGCCTCAGCCTGCCTCAGCCTCAGCCCAGCCTGCCTCAGGGGGGGCCTCAGCCTGCAGCAGCATCAGCATCTGCCTGCCTCAGCCGCAGCTGCTCAGCCTCAGCCACAGCCTCAGCCTCAGCCTCAGCCTGCCTCAGCTTCAGCCTCAGCCTCAGCCTGCCTCGGCTTGCCTCAGCCTCAGCCTCAGCCTGCTTGCCTCAGCCTCAGCCTCAGCCTGCCTCGGCCTCAGCCTCAGCCTCAGCCTCAGCCTCTCAGCCTCAGCCTGCATCAGCCTCAGCCTCAGCCTCAGCCTGCCTCAGGCTCAGTCTCAGCCTGCCTCAGCCTCAGCTTGCCTCAGCCTCAGCCTCACAGCTGGCTCCGGGCAATCAAAATGTAGTCTGGGAATGTTGTTCTGGGACACGAAGAACACGAAGTGGCCTACTGTTGGCTCCGGGCATTCAAAATGTGGCCCGGGAGTGGTGTTCTGGGAACACGAAGAACACGAAGTGGCCTACTGTTGGCTCCGGGCATTCAAAATGTGGCCCGGGAATGATGTTCTGGGAACACGAAGAACACGAAGTGGCCTACAGTTGGCTCCGGGCATTCAAAATCATGCCCAGGAATGGAGTTCTGGGAACTCGAAAACCACGAAGTGCGTTACTCTTTGCTTAAAACGAATTCCCCGGCATCCCCCCGGCATCCTCCCCCGGATCGCGCCCAGACCCCCCTGGGGCGTCATGATGCTCTCTTTTGACCCTAGAAGAAACCTACCAGTCTTCGCTGTTAGGTAAATCGTCCCAGACTATTTTTTGACGAGTTATTCCCCCCTGTAGAGGGACAGGCCCGACTCCAACTCAGGGGCGAGGGGGGCGAACAGAGCGCGGCGATCCTCGCCCTCGATCTGGGGCGAGCACGGTCCCCGCAGTGATGCAGGCCTGCTTCCCTGCAGCTGGAGCGCGAGGACGGCAGGCGAGAGCGAGAGCCCGACCCCGAGTGGCGCAGGAGCCGTGCCGGACGACGGCGCCTCCGCCGGAAGCACTGCAACGTCACCAGCACGCCCCGCGGCAAGGGGGGAGGACGAGGACGAGGACGAGGAGGAGGAGGAGGAGGAGGAGGAGGAGGAGGAGGAAGAGGAGGAGGAGGAGGAGGATAAACAACGAGGAGGAGGAGGAGGAGGAGGAGGAGGAGGAGGAGGAGGAGCAGGAGGAGCAGGAGGAGGAGGAGAAACGAGGAGGAGGAGAAGGCGGCGGAGAAGGAGGAGGAGGAGGAGCAGTCTACGGGAAATAGCGCGCGGATGTGACGACGCGGGGCGTCGACCGCGAGTACAGTCGGCCTTGATTGGACAGGACGCGCGAGAGGACACAGGACCCTTCCGAGGGCCACATCGCCACAGGAGTGCAAGAGGGCACGGGTCGCGAGGCACAAGACACAAGGGTGCCCTTAAGCTGGCAGGGTCGACCTACTAATCCGGGCCGACTGTACGCAGAGAGATCCACTCGGTGGGCATCCCTGTAAGACTCAGGAGCTGATGAGGCAAAAGTGCTCGCTGGTGGGCCCAGGCATCTCGCACAAAGCGTGCAGTCCATTCATTATATCCTCAGAAAGGCCATGAGCAAGCAGGGAGAAGAAGAGGAAGACCTTGGATAGGCTGGGAACCCCGACTTCGGATCCGCCGTACTTTGGTGGGTTTCGCAAGTAGGGCGGAAATCCCACCAGCCCTCTGGGCGTAGGTGGTTTAGAGAGTTTCCGCTTCCACCCCTCCTTCTTCCCCTTCGGGGAAGGGTTTACCCCTCCCCCTACCCCCTCCCCTGGACCTGGACGGGGAGCGCGGCGACGCGTTGGAGCGTCCAAGATGGCCTCGGCGAGGAAGTCAAAATCATTGATGTTACTAATGTTTTGGCTACAGTTTGGCCTCCTGGGGGGGGGGTGCTAATTGAGGACCCCCCCATTCTTTGATAGATCTCCTCCAACATGGCCCCAAGAAGCGCCCAGGAGGCCCCAAGAGGTCCCAAGATGGCCCCAAGATGGCCCCAGGAGGCCCCCAGGAGGCCCCCAAGAGACCCCCAAGAGGCCCCAAGAGACCCCCAAGATGCCCCAAGAGGCCCCACGAGATACGCAAGAGGCCCCCAGGATCGCCAAGAGGCCCCAAAGACGGCCCAAGAGGCCCCCAAGCTCGCCATTGTCCTCCTCCTCCTCCTCCTCCTCTTTTTCTTCCTCCTCCTCCTCCTCCTCCTCCTCCTCCTCCTCCTTCTCCTTCTCCTCCTTCTCGTCCTCCGTCCTCGCCCTCCTCCATCTCCTCCTCATCTTCCTCCTCCTCCTCCTCCTCCCCCTCCTCCTCCTGTTTCTCCTCCTGATCCTCCTCTTCCTTCTCCTACTCCGACGACGACGACTCCTACTACTACATCCTCCCCCCATTGGGGCATATGGCGGCTTACCCCGCCCTTTGTTGTTCTGCATGCTCCCCCGCTTCCCTCATCACCTCCACTCCCCTGGGGCTCATTTCTGGACGGGCTGGTGGGGATACTTTTTTTTACAGCCGCAGGCGCTGGTGGGGATACGCGAAGCGTTTAGAATTTCCGCCCTGCTTGTTGAGCTCATTTGATACCGATTTCCGCCTTACTTTGCCGTCGCTGTTTTCGCCACACCTCTGCGGAAGTATCCGCGCTATCTCTTCCTGAGGTCGACATTTCCGCCAGACTTTTTCGCATCGTCTGGGGTGCACTTACGATTCAATTCCAAGTCGGAAAGTCAACCAAAGTACGGCGGATGCGAAGTCAGGGAAATGCGGCCCGCATGTCGAAAGATAGACACATCGGCCGGTGATCCGGGAAATGTAAGACTTAGCGGGCCCCAAGGCCGATTGCGACGATGTTGGTCGTAAGCCGGCGCCCAGGAACGAAGCCCTGCTGCACGGGGTCCGCGCGTTCCTTGGCCAAGGGAGGAGGAGGAAGAGGAGGCGGAGGAAGAGGAGGAGGAAAGAAGGGGTTTTACAACGCTGCAGCTCCACGGCCTCAGTTTTCCCAGAGGAAGGAGGAAAGGAAGAGGAGGAGGAGGAGGAGGAGGAGGAGGAGGAGGAGGAGGAGGAGGAGGAGGAGGAGGAGGAAGAGCAGCATCATCATCATCATCATCATCATCATCATCATCATCATCAGCAGCAGCAGCAGCAGCAGCATCAGGAGGTGGAGCAAGAGGAAAAGGAGGGGCAGGAGGAGCAGGTGGCGAAGAGATTGGGAGGAGGGAGGCGGGAGGCGGAGGAGGGAGGAGGCGGGAGGAATGAGCGAGGGGAGGACAAGGGATGAGGAGAAGGCAAGGAGGAGGAGGAGGAGGAGGAGGAGGAGGAGGAGGACGACGACGACGAGGACAAGGAGGACAAGGAGGAGGAGTACGAGGAGGACGACGACGACGCCGACGAC